GTATGTATGTATGTATGTATGTATGTATGTATGTTTTCCATCATCTCCGATGGAGCCAAAATTTCACCATTTTTTGGCTTTGGGGTGTGATGGAATAAATCAAAATGGATCTCTAAACTATCTGCGCTTCTTTAATTAATGAAGTAGCAGTTAGTCAAGCAATGCAACTTTCGATGTTGAGCCGGGGGTCTCTTTGGAAACAGCCTCTCTACTTTCAAGTAGGGGCAAGGTCTGCGTACACACACCCTCCCCATACCCTACTCTTGTGGAATTTAATTGGGTTGTTGTTGTTGTTGTATGTATGTGTGTGTGTGTGTGTGTCTATATATATATATATATATATATATAGACACACACATACTCACACACACATACATAACTCTTAACTCTAACCATCCTTTTTCTGAGTAGTAGCAAGAATCACGTTTAGGACTGATCCCTGACACTTGAGCCTTTTAGATACCTAGTGTGTATCCATTTCACCGAAAGCACATCTTTTTTATACAATTAGTCTACTTGATTTCTGTATAATTATCTGTATAATTTCATATTTGTGTTATCCCAACATTTTCTTCCACTGTCTTTTGGAGGAAAAGATTTTATGGTTCATATTATTTCTCTTTCCTTTTCACAAACTACAACCACACAAATTCTATCTTATGAAAAGTCATGTAAAGTCAACCTATGAAGAAAATTATGGACATGAGGGAGTACTAATTAAAATAATTCTCATTACTTTTATTGTGGGTGTATGTGTGTTTGGATTCGGATATCGGTGTAGATCAATAATAACACATTGTAAAATCTTTTATTCCATTTCCTGCAAGGCTGTCTTGCAATATATAGATTAATCCAAACTTTGCTCATTTTACAGATTCTGGCGTCCAAACCAATTCCCCTGTCGTATATTGATCTCATCATAGGTGAAGATGGTGCAAATGTTGAACACATACGGAAATCTAGTCAGGCTTCTGTGTATTTGAAACCATACACACTTAGAGAGGTGACTATTTGTATTGTTGGCGAGTCGTATGCTGAGGTTGAATCTGCTAAGTGCGCAATAGAGGTAAAACTGCGGAACCCATTATTTGATCAGCTTTGCATTTTAATTTCTCCGTCTTACATCCTCTGGTTGTTGAGACTCCACTTCACTTGAGAGGAGGATATGAACGCAATAGAATGAGAACAAAGGGTTTAAAACTTTAGTTGACACAGACTGTTGTTTATATGCAGGATTTGATTGGAAAACGCGTTTTGGCGGATATGGTTCAGGAACAAAGGCTAGTTTCGGGGCCTCATACTTCAAGTTGGGAAAGGCCGTATAAGAAACTCAGTGTCTTTTAATCACCCCATAGCTGTTTCTTGATGCCAAAGCCAACCAAATGACTATGCAAAATTGCTTCTGGCTAACTGTAGTTTGTTTTTTTTCCCTTTCAATCATTTAGATGGCTATTTATATACTCCGTGCTCTCTATTTCTTTTAAACATTGATCTCCACTTGGTTTTGATTACTTTTTTTGTTTGAATAACTTTTGGACGAGTATTGGGAGTCCCAATATAGGCAATCCTAGTCAAAATGTCATGATTTCGACTTTCCCACAATTTCATTTGAGATTATCCAACTTCACAATTTCTTTCATATTCCAAAATGGAAATATTATCTCAAACAATCCCATATTTTCACTCTTTTAAAGTAATCACACTTTTCACTATCCTTGGAAATGATCTACCTTTTCTGCAAGTTGAGATTATTTTAAACAAATTTACTTTTTTTTAATTTTAAATTTAAAATTAATATTTTTAAAAAAATTCTCTTGTTGGAGATTTGTATAATGATTTACAAATTTCATTTTCTGTTTTGGTCAAGAAAACAATGTAGTGAGTTATAAAATTGCAGCGCTTTGATCAAGAAAGAAATTGCAATACAATAAAAATGCGGTGAGTTTTAAAATTTATTAGTGCTGTTTCAGAGAAAAAAATTGTTTTGTCATTTTCACTATTTATGAATTACTATTTTGGGGAAAATAAATTATACCGAATTTAAAAAAAATCACAAATTAGGTAGTTTCATTTTAGAAAAAAATAATATAGACAATAGAAAACTATCAATAAATATCATGAAAAAATTTCAATATAACATAAAATGTAGCGAGTCAGGACACCCCCAAACAATGCTCTAAGTTTCATGCTAAATAGTAGGGGTGAGCACGTACCGAACCGAAACTGAAATTTCCCGAAAAACCCGAGATTACCGAACCGATAAAATACCGAAAAAGAACCGTACCATACCGAACCGAATGATCGGTCCGGTATTTGGGATCGGTACGAGGTAACTTCCCATACCGAAAAATCCGAACCGAACATATATACAAATACGTTCTAAAAATAACAATGTTTTTATATTTCTTCATTCAAAAATAAATTGATTTTGAAAAGTTGGTTCAAGTGTAGATGAATTACAAATAATCTTTTATTTATATAATCATTTATTTTAATTTTATTTTTTGTAGATATATATATAACAAAATTTAACAAATATGTGAAATACTCCGTATTATTTTCTTATCATTCATTCTCTTTTGTTTGTAAAATATGAAGCATAAATTAAACTAAGTTTTATAAGTATTTTTGCATTTAATTATTCATTTTCCAATTGTCTATCTTACTTTTATTTGAATGCACTTTCGAATTTTTTTAAATAAAAAGTTTTGTACATTCCAAAGTATAAACTAGGTAAGTATATATATATTCGTCTCAATATTTACCGAAACCGAAACCGAATCATCCCGAACCATACCGAATCGATATTTTGGGATCGGGATCGGTACGATGTCAAATCCCATACCGAACCGATATATTTGGTACGGTATCGGTACAGACTAAATACCGTACCATACTGTACCATGCTCACCCCTACACTGTAAGCTATTCCACCTTTGGACCGATCTTAACAGTTTAGAAGTGGGGTGGAATACTTGGAGCCACTGCCTTGTTCTCCCCCTCCCCCCTCCCCCGCATTCTTTGTCGCCTTCATCCCGATCAGCTGTCTTTGACCGCTGGTTCCCCCGTGGCATTGAGGTTGATGAACTGCGCATCCCCACTAGTTTGGATCGCTTTAGCCCTACTGCTGAATTTGAGACGCTTCTGCATAAGTTTCCGGATGTGAGAGAGAGAGTGGAAAGTGAGAGTTTACAAAACTCATCGAGGTTGGATTTCTCGAGCGGAGATTCATATTTGGATAGTGAGTTGAGTGAGAAAACAAAATCAGATCATTTACGTATTAACCTAAAATAAATATTAAAAAAATTTTTTGAAGGGAAAAATGAATTGAATTGTTTTCAAGAAGATTAAGAGACAAGAGGAATGAATATTGAGGACTCGTGGTTCCAGACTGTTGGGGGGTTTTAAGCGCGTAAGATACCGAAAAATATTGAGAACACCAGAAAAATGAGAGAACAAACACAAGAAAAATATATGAGAGAAAAAAATTATATTTCTACTATTTCAGGACAATATACAAAAAACTTTCTCCTGTTTATAAGGCTAAATTTCAGACACTCATAAACAGATCTTTCACATCCT